CTGACGTGCCTCTCTAATTGTATTGACATTTTAATTTTCTCTGTAGAGGATTTGCTATTAAAGGTGTGCAATTACTACAATGTGTACGTGTATTTAATATGTTTTTAAATTCCAACTTTCCCTTTATAGTCTCAGTTGGACCAGTCTCCTGGTTAATGGTAGATAAAGTCATTTAGGATAACCGCATTGATAGTTTCCTTGTTGTTGAATATGTACCACTACAATACACTCATTTTATGTGAATCCACACAAACTTAAGAGCTTTGTTTCTTTGGTGTATTTCATTACTATGTTATAAAGTTTGCAAACTGTGGTCTAAAGTCTGAAACTTTTGGCTGAAGAAAAGGCACGTTACTGTTTGACCGCGCTTCCGAGAAGGGGACGCAACCCACATTAAAACAAACAGAAACCCCAAATAAGCTTTCAGGACTGAACTTGTAGCGGCCACCACTGCGATTCAGACGTAAGGTATGGTATTGTCTGTTTTAACCGTCACTATTATTATTATTATTATTATTATTATTATTATTATTATTATTATTATTATTATTATTATTATTATTTATGGTTGTTTTTGTTTGTTTGTTTGTTTTTACCACCCATGGTATCTTTGGATCAAGGAAGACTGATAGTAGCCTACCATACGTGACCCGCGAGAATTCCTGGACATTTTCCGTACCTAATTGCCATTTAGTTGAACATATGTTGAACGCGCCATCGTGGCCTTCAAGTTATAAAATGTGGAAAGACTTTGGGTTTGTTTTCGGCCGCGACAAAAGGGGAAAAAAGGAAGCGAGTATTTTCTGATATTTCATATTTAAAACCTAAACTTGGTTACTTTTAAGGTTTTGGTTTAGCGAACTACATAAACTTGACCGAATGTTTGCACCTCCCACCTGTCCGTTGATTAATTTGTTAGCAGTGACAGATCTTCTTGAATGGAGAGCCTTTGTTAGTACCAGCCATCATGACAGAGTAATATCTCTAATTATCTTTCTTGTGTTTGCCTTTGTTTTGTACCAGAAAGGGCTCTTGGTTTTAGTTAAACCTGTCAGATCCTGTCATGGCTGTTACTGCAGTCCTTCTGCTGAGCAGTCTTGGCTTTTTTGGCAATTACTGCTCAAGGTGAGTGGATTAGCTTGAGAAACACAGCATGGTGTTTCGTCTTAAAATTGTGTTCTCTTTTTTATCTGTATCTTTCTCTCTTTCTTTTCCCATGTACAGCTCAAAACTGTTCCAGTCCTCCTAAAGGAGAAAATATGGATTTAAAGGACAGTGACATTTTTCTAACTAGTTTCCCAGATGGGACCACAGTTAGATTTGCCTGTAATATTGGATATGTGTCTGCAGGAAGGTCCCCAAGTGTTACTTGTACTGCTGGAAGTTGGAGCCCTCTGGGGTTGAAATGCCAAAGTAAATATTAACACTTGATTTTAAATTCAAATTTCTTATAGCAGCTGTATTTCACAGCCAGTTTAAGCACATGAGAATGGATGTCAGGTAGAATTTACTCCCCATCCTGGAAACATTCTTGAAATTGTTGTTTAAAAAAATGTCTTCCTCTAGAAAATGTCTTACTCACATGAACATGTTACATAAACAGTAGACTATATTTGTTGAGATAATTACACATAATATTATC